TAGAAGTTGGAAAAAGTGCTATAAAGAATCAAAGGTCTGCAGATGCTAGAAGTGTGTTCTGTAGAATAAACACTGAGTTTTACTTAGTGTATGTTTTAGATAAGTGGCTTATGGGCTGAAGTAATATTGTTGCGTGTTCTGGAGGAATATAAGGACCAGCCCCAGAACCTAACAGACTCTACAGAAGCCTTTCAGTTGGTCTTTTGACCAGGCCCTTTGCTTCTGACAAACATAGATATATGTATTTTTTTTATTACTACCTCTGTTTTCCCTCCCTCATCTTCTAAGTGGATTCATCATTGTCTAACAGAACTGGCGTTTTGTTACTTTTGGATTTTCCAGCAAAGGCTGGCATCATAAAAATTCTGAACACTATCCATGGACCAAATGGAAACTATAAAATCAAAAGATTCTTGCAGTTCTAGACCTGAAGAAAAAAATGTGATCTAATTGTACTGAAGTATGAAATAATTAGTGGTTCCAGCTGAGATGAGACTGGATCTAAGAACAAGTTGTGAATTGTTAGTGCTCATTTCTATCACCCCTTATATCACCTTAAGGATCTTGATGTTCCCTTGATGGTATCTTTCAAGATGTTTTTCACACAATCACTTGCAAAGCTGTAAATGAAAACCTAGTCAGTGATGCTTGAGTAATTTAGAAGTAATCTGATCCTTCTGTAATGTTCATAACTATACATTGGATAAGGTATTCTGATCCTGGTTTCTGACATACTCTTTATTTTAAATATTATTATATATATTTTATATATTCTCACACAGTGACGAGATTCTTGACTTGTCCAGACAGCCAGAAACAGAGCATTCCTATTTCCATTAGCATATGTATTAGATAAAAATACCAATTTCAAAGAGGTACATTTGGGTAAAACAGCATGAGTGAGGTCAGGTTTTGCCTCAGACTCTCAGGCATATGTACCTCTTTGCATTACCCTGGAATACTGCTGGGAAGTAACAACAACAATATTTGCCTGTGATTATAACTGTGATCTCCTTTGAAGACTATTTCTTTCTGGGAAGAAGAGACTGAAATCAAGAGGTCTGTTAGTAAAGTTTCTCCATGCAGAATAGGGACTCACAATGGCTTATTATTGTCCTTTTCTTCAGCTGATACAAAGTTTTCTGGGTCATGATAAGAAGTTTTAGACTGGGAATACATTCTATAAACTTGATTATTTGAGTATGTTTAAACATCAGCTTACTTATGTCTTTTTTAGTGATTAAGTTGCAGTTCTGCTACAGGTACCAGCTTCTGTTGTCATCCCAACAGATGTGAGCTAGAGGACTTTTGAAAGAAGAAGGTTAGAGCTCAAAAGTCCCAGTGCTTTGGTAGGAAAGAAATGGTAAGTGTTTCTGCCAAGGCGTAGTGGTTAGATTTAGACAAAACATAAGCTACAGACAGTTTTTTTTTTTTTTTTAACATCTTAAAGTATATCCCTTAATGCATTTTTTTGACACAACAGTTGTCTCAAAGCCAGATAATCTTGTGATAAGTCCAAGCTGCAAGGAATTGGAGATCCTTTATTGACTAGCATTAAAGATGGAGTGTCTCAATCTGATACTGTATTCACAGAATATTCTATGTCAAATTCTCAGCAAAATTTCTGCCCCAAAGATGATCAGGTAAGAGCTTGGGCTACAGTTTGAATTTTGAGGAGTGCTGCCTGGATTCAGGTATTCAGGGGAGATAGGGTGTGCTTCCTTTTAAATCCATATTGTCACCACCAAATCTAAGGGAGATGTTGGAGAGGAAGCTGGCCAAATACTTGAAGACTAATATCATTGACGAAGTAGAGCCAGCACAGTTGAAAAGTGCATATAAGTAGATGTACAGGGTTTGTCTGTCTGATTAAAGGCTTGATTATGTGAAGCACAGGTATGTGACCTTGGTTAGCTTTGCTGAAAAAGTTGTTGACCTGAAAGTATGTATCGTAAAGCCATGTGATACAAAACAAACTCCTCCAAAAGTTATAACTTAGTCTGTTTTTATGGTAGTGATAGCAGCTTTTGAACACAAGAAGAATAAAAATTATAAACATGGGGGGTAGGGGAGGAATGGGAAGTTGGAAAATAGCAATGAAAAAAAATACTGTATCCGGCTGTTTCAATGAATAGTAAGGGTTGATTTTGCTCCATGTGTCTCATGACTGCCAGGCCAGCAGAGAAGCATATCCTGTTTTGGGGACCCTAGGTCTTAATTCTCAGCCTGGTGATCTGGTAGCCCTCTCTGGTTATGTTGTTAGCTGATATGTAGTGGTTGAACCCTTTAAGAAGGGTAGAAGCTGTAAAAGTAGGCGATCAGAGGGGAGAGAGTATCTGGGAAAGGTTCAAATATGCAGAGAGCCTTGAAGGTAAGGGCTAGATGGAGTATCGCTTCCCAGACAACAAAAGTGTGTACAGGTGAAAGGATTTAGGAGTGCTGGTTTGGTCAGAGAGATGTGATAGGAAGGTAATCACAGAAGCTTTATTTTTATATAGATGAGCAGTGACCTGAAAGATTTATATAATTTAGCAATTATGAAAGTTGAAAAAGTTTAGAAGTGTTCTAGAGAAAAACATGTAAGTGCACATCATCCCTGCAAATGAACAATGTCTAAATGTATGATCAAAGGATTGGAAGATGTAGAAGATGCCCTTTAAGTGTTCTGAATGGAAATGGCAGTGGACTGGGGCTTCATTTGCCACAACTACAAGAAATAAGGGGAGTGCAGAACAAAATATCAGAAGCCCTCTTTGATTTGGTTTAATTTAAAGATGAGAACAGGAGGAGATTCTGAAGAAATGGCTCAACTCTGACAACTGGAGTGAGTTCACTTTGTGTCCTGGTTAACAGATTGCATCTCTTATTCATTCTTTTTTCTTTTTTTCTTTTTCTTTTTTCTTTTTTCTTTTTTTTTAAATTCCTCTCTATACTACAAGTCCTGATTTGACACCTTAAAACTGTTGACTGACTTCCAGAAGTCTTGGTGTAAATTCTTCTAGATGTCATTGTTTCTTTTGTTGCAGTTTGGTAAAGTTGACTGATGAAGTTATTTTGAAAGTTCTTTAATCCAAGACAAGAAGGAATCTGTGCTATTTCTACTTAGTTGCTCTGGTTTGCCTGGTTATTGCAAGTGGCTCCCATTCCTGAAATTTGTTGAGATGCTAGAAACTTATGCAAATCATCTCTGCTGCTGTAATAGGTTCTGGTTTGCATTTTCCCCCAGTATTGCTATTAGGATATGATACGATCTTTGCTATTCTGGGATTTTTTTTTTCTGTTTTGCTAGAAGTTGCTATTTTCCTTTTCTTCCCTTGTCTATAAGCAGTTGCAGTGATTAGAGCTGCCTATTCTATATGCAAGCGTATTTTTTAGTGCTGAATAGTGAATTTTTGCATAAATAAATGATGGCTAAATTAGCTTATTTAGGCAACCATCCTTATTGGGAGGAGAAAATATTTTGGGTGGCTTTATTCATGCTCTATATCCAGTCCTTCTGCAGGTAGGTATTTGCTGATTAAGTTAGTTGTAAAACCAGTCTCCAATTTTAGAAAAGCAAATCTATTCATAAAATAAAAACTCAGTAATTTTTTAACTTAAGTTTTTAACTTCTTTATTACATTTTTAGGTTGTGCTTGTTCAAGAATGTTCTTTTTCACAAAAAGACAACTTGCAAACTTTCAGTCTGTCCTTTC